AAAAAAAATGTTGTGAATGTAAATCAATAACTCTAACCTGGAGTGATCTTCATTATAAATTCGTTTCAATTCTCTTATATGTAAATTTCTTTCACGTTCAAGTTTTTCATATTCAATTTGTAAATCTGTTTCTTCTTTTTTCAATGATGCTTGTCGTAAACGTAAAATTTCATCTTGTTCATACCAATCAGTCACTAACGATCTTCTAAAGCAAATGAATCGATTAAAACAACAAAAAAGCTATTTTCTTTACAGGCTAATTATTAATAATCAATTTTCATATTAATGTGAAAATAATTCATTAGTATTACGTACGATTTATCGTTTAATTTTGTTCCGTCGTTACTATTTTGATCAGATTCGCTTCGATCTTTGCTTTTTGCTCGCATATACGTTTTGGCTGGTTTTTCTTTCACTTCACAATTTGGTCGACGTTTTTGTAATGATCGTCGTTCACGTTCAAGTTCCTCGCGAGCACGTTGAATCAATTCTTGTTGTCTGCAATAAATAACGTATGAATCACTTTCTCTTTCTCTCTCAAGTGCTTGTAATCTGATAACTTACTTGACAAGATCTGTAAACGCGCTACCATCCACCCAGTTTTCAACAAATGTAGCACCTTGACGTTGTGTAACAAACTGACCTAAACGTAAACGATTTTCCATACATTTTTGTCTTGCTTGTTTACGTTCTAATGTTGACTAAAAATATGAATAAGTACATGTATTACTCTGATTTTAACTAACTAACAAATCAAATTCTTACTTTCTCAATCAACAGCTTTTTATTCACAGCTAGACATTTTTGTAAAACATTTGATTGTTTTTCTAGATCACGCTGTATGTCTCGCAATTGTCGACGAAGTTCATCTTTATCCTAAACAAAAATAGAAATCATGAATAATTTTTACAATGTTAAACTTTGAAATTCTCTCAATTTACTCTTGATAATGTTTGAATTTGACTGTTCTTTGCTTCAATGTCACCGGGAGTTAAAACTGTTGACACGTTCAGCGCCATGATATCAGTCTGAAATAAACAAATAAATAATTTTATAGTATCTGTATAAGTAGAAAGAAAAATTTAATACTTACTTGAACTTGCTTTGTTGTTGCTGATGAAAGACTTGATTCAGATGTATGATTCGAATTTGAACAAGAATCACTTTGTATAGAAGAAACCGGAGAAAAATCATTTTTGGAAGCATTCTAAATGAAAAAAAAAGGGCAGACATATCAAACGGAGCTCTATTGACCTCTGTATTTTCTTCTACTCACTCGAACGGTTGAATCGGATACAGCAACTGTAGCCTGTTTTTTATCAGTATTATTTGTCGTATCGTTTTTTCTTCGTTTCGGATTTCTTGCTGTAAATAAGAAAAACATCTATCTAACAAAAAAAGTTTTTTCACCCCTATATGATTTAATCGTACCAGTTTCACTGTCTTCGACTTTTTGTACACGTTTTCGTCGCCTGTCAGGAGGCGTGGCCGCTTTTCTGGTTATTTTTTTTTCCACTAAAATAATATTATTTGCTGCCGTTAACAAGTTATTATTATTTAGGATGATCGAATTATTGTTATTTAACAAATTTGGATAAGTTTGATTCGTGAAAACTATGGTATTATTGTTGTTAGTTTGAGAAGTATGTGTGATGTTACTATTGTTTGTTGTCGTTCTCAGCTGAGTGGTTGGCTGAAAATCAGGTAGTTCAATACCGCTTTGTTCAAGCGAATTTGTTGCTCCGGTTATATCTTGTTGAGAAAATGACTAAAATAGATCAAAACTAATACATCGGAAATTGCAAAATTGAATAAAATATTAGCATACCCGTTGAATGTTATTTTGTTGTTTATTTTCAACGGACTCTGTGCTTCTCGGCGCGTACAATTTTATCATTGGAAAACTACCCTCAGTGACAAGAGCACTTTCTCCTAAAAGCAAAAGAAATTAATCATATCAAAAGAATATTTAGATCGAATTCTTAATGCTTCAGTATAGCACCTATTATCACGAACGATTAGAAAAAGTCTGAAAATTGTTTCACGGCTGTGGAAAAACTTATATCAATAGATGCGATCTTCATGCACGAGGGACCAACTGTAACAAAATACTTTCATAATCAAGAACACTTATCAACTAAAAGTTTTGCTAAGTTTTTCAAAGTAAGCAGCGCAAAGACTGTATGAGGCCAACGATCCAATGATCTTTTCGTGTAGCGTGGTATTCTTCGCATCAGGTGATCGTTATTCTGCTGATTCATCAGAAACGTCAACTGTTGACTCAAGTTTATCTCAGTTTTTCGACGTATGATCTTAAGCTTTTCATTAACTTAAGATATCTCCAGAGTTGTGCTGCAAAACAAAACGTTGACTTAAGTCTGTGCATAGGTTCGCGGACTTAAGAATAGAAAGCAGGTAAAAACGTACCACGAACAAGCCCTAAACTGTCGGACGGTTTATTGGCTTGATGAACAAGATTCATTATCTTTACATTTTCTAATTAAAACAATATTCAATACAAAAAAAAACAACGTATTGGATAAATAAACTCATATCTAAAACAGATAACCAAAAAGAAAAACAGGGTTGATTGAGAAAGAATTCCATATTTCATCGTAACATTCGAGAAAGACAGCAAAGATTTTTCAACTTGATAGCAGTCTAAGTTGTAAGCAGGATAAAGGGCCAAAGTGTAACATCAGCTGACGTTAAGTTTTTAAAATAAGATAAAGTTCTTCCATTGCACTAACAGATAATGATAAAAAGTATATTGAATGCATGGAGAAAGGCATTTCTCTTAAAGAGCTTTACAAAAACGATTTAAGATACTCAGAAAACCAGCAGTTATTTGGAAAATATCGATCAATCATCACACTATTTGGGATAGTGATTTCCTAATTTTTTGATTGGTCAATGTATCAGAGCAAAGTACGATGAAAATGGTATAAGTAAGCATGCAAAACAATTGTAATAATTATGACTACAAATGTATGAAACGAACTGCGTAAACGCTTTACTGTTATGTGTACAATATGCTTTTGATTTATCTGTTTTCGATAACAGACTATTGAATCTCAGTTCTCAACGCAGACTGTAGCGTAACTATCAAGCGCTTCAATCAGTTCTAGACGAAATTCATCTTTAGTACTCCCCATCCAATGATAGCGTCTTCTTAAATTAATTACTAGTATTTTTTATGCATACATTGTAATATGTTCGTATCAGAAAGAAAGAAAGTGATTCCACTCTGTACGATGCCATATAATTACAATATTGAAAATGTTAAAAACAGCTTGGTATCATGCGCAAAGAGCTTTATCAAATTCAAAAAAAAGATTCATTATCATCGCAAAAAGAAGGATAAAGTTACAACAAGAAGGCAACACCCAGTGGAAGATCTAGAGTTTTTCGTCGGTATGTGCGGTGCAATCACCGTAGAAACATTTTTCTGAGACAGTTCTGCTAAGAAAAAAGTTTCTTTTTTGCTCAAAAGATACGTGCGACCGCGGCTGCATCCGCCACTGACAGCATCGCAAACACTAGAATCAACACAAGAATTTATCCAAATCGACTTTCTTACCTCATTCGCGGCTCGTACGCGGTTTTCGCGATACGATTGCCCGGCATTTGCTCAACCAACTCACGCCGCTATCTAAAACTTCCTTATTGTTGCGGTTCGATCGCGACCAATTCTTATTTTTCAAAAAAGTTGGAATTTGCGATCGTGACGTGATAATTTCTTCTTAAAGCGCTCGCGCTCGGAACACGGAGTTTCGCTGTGATTTACTGTAGCGACTCGCGCAAGGGGGAAAGTCGCTGTGATTTACTTGGACTCGCATCAAGATAGTATTTTTAGTAAGATTTTGAAGTCGTGGTATGATTGCACTTTTCTTACTCAAAGGATAGAATTCAAAGGATAAGAGTAGCGGTGAGGAAAAGTGATCGCGTCATAAATCTCGCGTAGTGACCTCTTGAAGATCGATGATAGAAGGGTGTCTTTATTTTCATGACAATTGTAAAAGACATCGCCAGAAACAAAATAAAACGCGTTTTTGTACATAAAACAGTTTTTTCCCTGGAGATCTTCAAAGGGTCTCCAGAGAACTTTTAGGGTTTCTGTTGATTTCTGACTTAGTTTCAGGCTAAAACTATGGGTGATATCGGTCGTCTGGGATCTCCAAAGAGCTTCAAGAAAGCTCCAAGAACGATCACCTACAGTCAATGGATTCAGCGAGTTCCAGGCGCGTTACGTATAGGATAAAAAGCAAAATTACATATCAAGTACTAAGTTGAGAGCGAAATGTCAGATTTTATTTGGAGCTCTTAAGTTGTCAGTGAGGAGCTTCACTTTTTTAAATTCATCTTAAGTCGTTGCATGAGACATCTGGCTGAGAGAATATCTGAACGCTATGACTTACAAGGGACCTTTCTCAAGTGATAAATCGCTTTTCGTTCGAAATCTGGTGGGTTATAGGTTATCGATGATGCTGAATCCGAATGTCAACATGAGACATGCTGGGAGGTATCTTATTTTAATCAGAAATTTGCGGGTTACAATCATGCCTTGTAAAAAAAAGTTTTGGTTATTTTTTAGAGTTTCTGATAAACTAGTTTTCCAGAAAACCGGTACTTGGAAGGCCTAGCAGCATGTCTCATGTTGACAATCAGATTCAGCATCATCGGTAACCTATAACCCACTAGATTTCGAACGAAAAGCGATTTATCACTTGGGAAAGGTCCTTCGTTAGTTGTATTATAGGCGCGATCTTGTTATCCTAGGGCGAAGAATCCTGAGATATGATCTTGTAAGATCCCGAGATATGATCTTGTAAGACCACAAGATTTCATAAGATCTTACAAGACCATATGAGATCCTCATCTTATAGGCTTCCATAAGAATCTTGGTTCAAGAATCCGGTAAGATTTTTCTTGCAACAAGATTTCGTAAGATCTTGCAAGACCTTGTGATAAGATCTTGTATGATCGTGCAAAGAAGTGACAAGATCTTGAAAGATTCCATAAGATCATATAAGAATTCATCAGATCTTACAAGATAATGTCTCTGGTTCTGTCCTATAGATTCCCTCTAGACCCTCTCAGGTCAAAGAATCTTGCTGTAAGATCTTATAGTTTCTTATACGATTTCGTAAGATTCTGTAAGAAACATAGAAACTGATTCTTGATATAAGATCTTATATGTATGATTTTTGTAAGATTTTATAAGATGAATCCGTTTCTATGATTTTCCGTAAGATTTTATAAGATCGTGTAGGACCTTGATCTGATTTTTTGACTTGGGTATGTTACATATACTATATATGGTAGCAAAGTTTCTGTAGTAAAAATCAATCATCACTTCTTGGAAGATCTTATTACAAGGAATCGTATGATCTTGTGATAAGAACGTAATATGAGTAAACGCTCTTATTGATAAGATCTTTCCCGTTTGGACAATTAGTTATTCGCCATTTTATTATGCAGACACCACTATTATATATGAAACAGTGGTTTTGGAAGAACATACAACTTTTTCTATAGTGGTACTCATAGTGGTCCTATATCCAGTGCTAGCCTGCATCGTACTCGTCCTCCTTTCCTCATTTTCCTCCTAAA